TTCTCATGTATGACCATGTTCATCAGTTATAACTGAACTCATTTTCTCACAGAAGTAATCTACTGACTTGGATACTATTATTGCTGGCTTTACTTTGTAGTTTTTCATTAATATTTAGCTAAGATTGGTGTGCTAGTCAACTTTCCATTTTTATAACAAAATATTTGACACAAAAAACTTAAAATGAGGACAAGTTTATGGTGTCACATAGTTCGGGGGGGTTTCAGTCCATGAACTATATTTGACCGCATTGCTTCAGGCCTACGACAGCTCAGCATATCAGAGAGCACCTGTTGGAGAGCACCCTTTTACCTTATGGCAACTCTGTGAAAAATAAACAAGGAAGAGTCGGGATTTTGACTAGGGCCCGTGATCAGTGACCTAAGACCTCCCATCAGGCCATATCCCATGGCCTGATACCAACACTCTGGGAATCCAGTGTTTTACTTGGGCCTTCAGTGTTTATCCAAGAGATATGTGCATCTTCAACTTTGTTAGAGAATGACAGGCATTTTCCATGGTGATCCTGGCAATTCTCACTCTTCCCCTCACTACATGAGTGCTGTCCCTGCTAACCATCATATTCCACACTCGACTTTGTCAGACTGTGAGCATCCATGGATTTATCACGTCAACTGTGCTCAGGCTGAAAATGGTGCAAAAGAGCATTTGGGTTTTTCCCTCGTCGTTACTCCCTAACAGAACAACCATTGTGTAGTATTTGCAGTGTGTTAGGTATTTAGAGATGATTTAAGGCATATGAGAGCTGTATGTATGTAATATGCAAACACTATGCAGTTTTATAAGGGCCTTGAACATCTGTGTATCCTGACCCAACTGGGGGTCTAGGAAACAATCACCTGTGAATACCCAAAGACGATGTATCATCGATTCCTTTTGACAATGAGCGCCTTACTCTGTGATTATTATTTGATACCTTTTTCTTGTGGTGCCTGTTGACTGTTTTTCCAATTTCTTTAACATGGGCTTCATTTTTCTTAATCTTATAGCGTATATTTGTACCAGGTATTAATTAGCTTCAAAAGTGGGAAAAAGTATTTTCCCACTGTGTGGCTTGATTTTTCTGTCCCCGGTGTATTTTGAGAAGAAAAAAGTTCTTCATTTTAATGCACTCAGAATGATCAGGTCTTTGCCCCCTTTTATATACAGTGGTTCTGTGTCTTGAGAAATGCTTCTCTACCCTGCAGTTACAAAAACACTATGGCATATCATCTTTAAAAAAAAAAAACAAACAGTTTTGCTTCTTGCAGTAGTTCAGTTTGTGCTATAAAGTTGACTTCCAGTTTAATGGATTTTTTTTTTTTTTTTACCAATACACTCATTTTTCCAACGAGAACTTACTGAAAAGACCATTCTTAGTGAGAGCAGTGATCCTCATTGTGACTTCAGCATCTGTCAAATGACCATAAATTCATGGAAAACTTCTCTTACCTGTGTATCAGCTCTGTGTCAGGACCTCACTACTTTATTAATAATTCTTGGTAGGTGGAAGTTTCTTGGTTCGAATTGGCACTTGGGGATTTCATGGTACTATTTTAGGATCTACTCCTTGGATTGAAACAATTACAGCAGCAACCACAAAAATCTCAAGAAACTTTTTAGGACTGCACTGAACCTATACATTAATTATACTGCATCAACACCTTACAAATGGTGACTCTTAGAAACAAAACACAAAGATTATTACTTGCTGGGTCCCCATTTCTGGCTTTCTTGGAAGACTATTTCAGTAAAATCCTGTTTTACCATTTGAGGTCTTTACATATTTTTAGTTTTATCCTCACTTGTATTTTCAGGGATAGTGTTGATGTTATCTTTTAGGTTATTTTCTTGAAATCATCTGTTTTTAGTTTGAGAGTTTTGTGTGTTTTCATTATGTCTATCAACTGATCAACTGCTACGTTCACATATTCTTATATTTTATCTGTTGGATCTTACACATTTTTATAAATATCACATAGTGGATGATATCTTATTTTCCACTTTATAATCTTCATACATTTTTCTTGTGTATTGTATCTGATGATCACCTTAGGAAAAAATGATAAATCTAAATACCAGTATAGAGATCCACCAAGAGAAAACATTTTAAATGATAACTATTTTCATGTTTTTAAAAAATTATTATCAAATTAACTTTTTCTTTTTGGTATGTGGTTCTTTGACTTTTGGCACATTTATAAATTTGTGAACCACTTCCGTAAGTCAGGGTAGAGAATGGGTTAATTTTTATATTCCATTGCTTTGTACCTAAACCATCCCACGTTTCCAAACCTTGCACCTATGATCTGTTCTTTATTCTTCTAGTTTTGTCTTCCAGATAACATATCAATGGAATTAAACATCACTTGGCCTTTTTTGCCTGACTTCTTTCACCTTACACCATGACTTTAAGATTCATCCATATTAATTCCTGTATTCCTTTTTATTGCTGAATAATATTCTATTATATGGACATACCACAGATTTTAAAAATATATTTGTTCATTGAGTTTAAACATATTTTATGATTCTGAAAATTATTCTACTTCCTTGGATAAGTTACTTAACCTTTCTGTGCATCATCTATAGTGATGGTAGAAATAATACCGGTACCAAAGGGTTATGGGATGAGCTAATACATACAAAGTACAGTTGGCCCTGCATATCTGTGGGTTTCACTTTCATGGATTGAGTCAACCTCAGGTCAAAAGCATTTAATGAGAAAAAGTCACGTTTGTAGTACCATGCAAAGACTTTTAAAAATGTCCTTATTCCCTAAGTAATGCAGCCTAATTACTCACATTATATTGCGTATTATAAATAACGTAGAAATGATTTAAAGTATAAAGAAGGCTGTCTGTAGGTTATATAAATACACTGCCTTTTTATTTAAGAGAATTGAACATCTGTGGATTTTGTACCCTAATGGGTTTCAAGGTAAATATGCCATGTATACTGAGCAGCAACTGTGCTCAGAATGATGTCTAGTATACAGTAAAGGATTAATAAATATAAACCATTATTGGCTCAGTATTAACCATGAGTTTGAAAGTAGAAAAGTACTTGACAAGTTTAAGAGATGGCAAGAAGCCAGTGTGCCAGTGCACAGTGGGAAGAGAGGAGGAGGAGCGTGAGACACAGGGCGAGGAATGTGGGAGATGGAGAACCTCGTGGACTTCAGTTGTGTGTGTGTGTGTGTGTGTGTGTGTGTGTGTGTGTGTGTGTAGGTGCTCTTGCCCAGGCCTGTGTGTGTGGAGGCTAGAGGTTGATGTCACATGACTTCCTCAGTTGCTGTCCACCACATTTTTTGAGACAAGGCCTCTCACTGAGCCTAGAGCTCTCTGTTCTGGCTTGTCTGATCAGCAGAACCCTGGGATCCACCCATTTCTGTCCCTCATCAGTCCCAACACTGGAGTTATAGATATGTACCACCATACCTGGCATTTATGTGGAACCTGGGGATCTGAACTCAAGTCCTCATGCTTGGGCAGCAGTCATGGACCATCCCTTCAGCCCCAAAGATAGGAGTTTCCATTTCATTCTAAGTGCCATGGAAAGCCAGGAGTGCAATGTGATCTGGTTCCTGTCTTTCATAAATTACTTAGGCTGATGTGAGGAGAATCAGTTATGGCAATTGGTAAGTGTGAAATCAGGTACCCTATGAGAAGGGACTCACGCAATAGGACAATGGAAAGATGGTAGACTCAGATGGTAGTGATGCTTTGGGCACGGGAGGAATAGCAACAAGTGGTTTGATTCATGGTATGGTTTAGATGTACAATCCACAACATTGCCCCTTGCACACGTACATTCCCCACAGAGCAATGGCATGGCAACAACAGCAGCATTCTTCTGGTGGGACTTTACAAACCACTTCCCCCATCTACTTTTGAATTGGAACCTCAGCCTTTATGTCTGATTTACCAAACCCACTTGGAGAAATAGCCTGTCTTTACAGTATTTTTAAATTTTTTATTTGAAAATAAAGAAGAGGGCATCAGGTCCCCTGGAACTGAAGTGCTGGAGGGTCATTAGCCTTCATGTGGATGCTGGGAACAGAACACAGAGCAGTGATTGTAAGAGCAGTCAGTGGTCTTAACCACTGAACAATCTCTCCAGCCTGTGTCTTTACAGTTTTACATGAGCTCTAGCTGACAGCTTTGCTACTCATACTTATGACCCTGAACACACTTGCAAAGAACTGACTTGTCCCACAAAATTAAGTGGTCACAGTATCCCACCTTGTGTTTCTCTGCAGCGCATGGCTCTGTGGCCCTGTGTGCTCAGGTCTTCTAGAAGTATCTACAAGTTCAGCTAGCAGGCAGCAGTTTTGGTAGCTGGCTGGAGTTCCTCTCTATACTGAGCGCTTATCTTTTGGAATAAACATCATCAGATTCAGAAGAAAATGATTCTAAATTTATTTTAGAACTCTTTTCAGCCTCAATTCTCTCTAGAATCTTTCTTTCAGTGACAAATGGTCTTGGGTTTTTTGGTGATCTCAGTCTCAAATCAGCCTTGCATGGAAATGGAGTTTTTTTTGTTTTTTTTTTTTTCTTTTTTTAAGCGGAGTTAAAAATAGAGTTCTGTGATCTCAGAAAGTTTTTTTTTTTTCTTTTTCCTTCTTCTCTTAACACATCTGTGTTTGTTCTCTGTGGGGCCTGAACTTTCAGCTCCTTGAAGACAAACACCTGACCCAGTCTTATCTGGAACACAGTCACAGGAGCCTTTTCTCTCTTTAACCCTATCCTCGCTGCTTCATCTGGCCCTTTTCATAACCCAAGTAGTATTGAAAGGAAGGCGTCTCCCTTTCATCCCACCCAGCCCTTGCCATACCTGGCCGCCATGTCTAGGAACTCTCCTTGGGTTCCTGTTCCCCCCTGGCTTCTTTTTACTTCTGCTTATTTGTAAGAAGGCCACTGGCATTCAGGAAGTTCTCCCTTGAATTTTCTGATTCGGTCTGTGCAGCTTTGTAACTGGCTTCTTTTGTGATCTTACAGAATACCAGGCTGCTATTCTACACCTGAAGAGGGAGCACAAAGAAGAAATCGAAAACCTGCAGGTAGATCTTTGATTCAACTTAACTGGTTTTCTAATGGTTCATTTTTCTCATATGCTGACGTCAGTCAATATTTCTTATGTGGGGGGAGTTTTTAGCTAGAGGGCATCTGCAGCTCGCAGCTGCCAGTAGGCATTTTATCTTGGGATGAAAGCTTTGGGTGCTGTGCTTAATAAAATCCAGTTTCTAATTTTGAGAAAAAAAATAGCATAAATGCCTTTGGATTTGATTGGAAGAACAATTCTGTGGGTTTTTAAAAAAAATTTATATTATGTATATGAGTGTATTGCCTGTATGTATGCAAGTGTTTCTAAAGTAGGAAAGAAAATAGAGTATATAGACTCATCCTGCTTGTGGGAAGTGTTTTAAACATTGCTATTCCTACGCACCCTGTAAACTGGTTTCGCTCTGCTTTCTTCTGCCTTTGGAGATTCACTTAGCACCTCCCTGCAGTATGATACCTCACAAATGAAAGCACGTAAGGAAGAGGTTCCCAAGGAAGGAGACCACATTGAGTCATTCTGTGTCCACAGTGTGTGCTGGGAGATTGTGAGTTTGATCCTTCTCTGTTTGCTGTCTATCAGTCCCTAGGTTTGGTGTTTGCTTACAAGTACTTATGGCAGGAAGTTCAGAATCATAACTTCAAGTCACTAGCTACTGAACCAGATCTTGAATCTAGTTTATCAGTGGGTGGGGTAGACTTGTTAGGAAAGAAGAATAATAAATTTTAAATAAAACTCCTTTCACACTTAATGCTGACTCATTACTTGCTAAGTTAATGAATTCATGGATCAAATATTCTTCCTTATAAACTTTATTGACAAATAGATATTGTATATAGTGTACAGTGTATGACATATTTTGAAATAGTATGCATTCTAAAGTGATTAAATTGAATCCATGTATTACTTTAATGAATTTGTAGATCGAATATTCTTCCTATTAAATTAATTGTATTAGAAATAGGAATTGTATATAATTTATCATGCTATTTCAGGGGCTATGTGCAGAGAGGCAAGACACCAGTGTGTTTGTTTCCTGCAGGAAGCAGTTTATTGTGTTGGCACCTGGTCCCATAAGATAGTTCTCAAAAGCAGAACCTTGAACAAAGAAAGACCCAGCCTTTTATACCGTCCATTAGTTCCCTTCACAATTCAGCTGCTTTGTCTCCTGTCTGTGGTAACACACATATCCTGACAGGGGACTCTGTGCTATGAGGTCGTGACAGGCAGAACTGCGCATGTGCACTCAGGCACAGTCCACGCTGCATTCCTTTTTCTTGGTTGGGGAGGGGGATGTTTCTAACACGGTACACAATGTGTTTTGAAAAACCTTACATTGTAGGATCCAAAGGGAGTTCATTTGCTACTTTTTCCCTTATATACTTATCATTTATTTTTAATAAGTAACTCCAGTCTCTTAGCAGTGTCCAAGGAAAAAAACAGAATACTAGAAGGATCAGTAGACCCGATCTCTGTGGCTGACTCCTCATCGCTAACTGCAATTTTATATACTTTGATCAATCTCTCCCTAAACCTTTCCCTACCTACCACCCCCAGTCCCTCATAGCCACCGTTTGACTTTGTTTCTATGAGTTCAACTTTCTTAAGTTCTACATGTAAGTGAGATCACACAGTTTTTATCTCTCTGTAGTTGGTTGATTTTTCTTAACCTAATGTCTTTCAGGTTCATCCATATTATTGCAAAAGGCAGGGGTTCCTTTCTTAAGGGTGAACAATATCTCATTGTACATATGTATAGACCACGTTTTCTTTATCCATTCATCATCCATTCATCCCTGTATAGACTCATGGATTGACTATATCTTGGCTTTGGGGGATAATGTTGCAGTAAGTGCAGGACTACAGCTCTCTCTTCAACATCCTGACTTTACTCCCTCTGATATATACCTAGTAGTAGACTTGCTCCATCATAGGGTAGTTCTGTTTTTAATAACATACTAGTTTACATTCTCATGAAGAGCTCACTGGCTCTCCTTTCTCTATGCCCTTGCCAGCACTCTTTCCCACCTTTCTTGGTAGTAGCTGTTATGCCAACTGTGAAGTGAGATCCCATTGCAGTTTTATTAGCATTTCCCTGAACATCAGTGGTGCTGAGCATATTTTCATATTCCTGTTGGCCATTTTATGTGTGCTTTTGAGAAACAACTATTCATTTCTTGCTTTTAAATCAGCTTGTTCTCTTTCTAATAAGCTACTTGTGTTCCTTGTATATTTTTGTTATTAACTGCTTATTAAATTCTTCTTTTTAATAAATAAGATGCTTTCAAAAGCAGTTGAGAGGTAGGTCTGTGGGTAAAAAGCACTTGCTGCCAAGACTGATGATCTGACCTCAATTCCCAGTATTCACATGGTAGAAGGAGAGAACCAACTTGTATGTATTGTCCTCTGACCTGCATAGGCACACCTTAGCACATGTGTACACACACACACACACACACACACACACACACACACACAGCCCCGTAGGCACACCCCATAACACATGTGCACACACACACACACACACACACACACACACACACACACAAACACGTGCGCACCAAATAAATGTGTAAAAAAAAAAACCCACTAAAATATAGCTGAGATAATATATTGGATTATATGTGAAGTCATTGCAAGCAGTGAAACAGTGATTAGATAAGTAGCAGACTGTAAATGCATGTCATACATCCAGACAGATTTAAATGGCTTGGAAGAGAAGTGAGTTGGTTTAATAAAGAAACAAAGTGGAAAAGTACCACTGGCCCTAGGGAGAAAGGACATGGAAGCCCTCCCTTTCTTCTGTTGTAAAAATGACCTACTGACACCTATCTTTTTCTTTGTTGTGGGATTAAAAAGATTCTCGGCTGTCTTAGATTATTTGAAATTGATGGGATAATTTAAGAAACTGATTTGGGAGCTGAAAAGATGGCTCAGCGACTAAGAGCACTAGTTGCCCTTACAGAAGACTGATGTTCAGTTCCCAGCTCCCACATGGCAGCTAGCAACTCTCTGTGTCTTCAGTTCCAACGGATCCTGTACCCTCTTCTGAGCTCTGTGGGCCTTGCATGCACATGGTGCACTTACATATATGCAGGCAAAGCACTCATACTGTGGTACTGTAAATATAGCCAAACACACAAGGCTGGAAAGTCATACATCTTAGAGAAAAACCTATTTTTATCATATCCCTATACCAATGTAATTTCTTCCTGTATTCTAAATAAGCATCCTTATATTTACAGACAAGTGTGCCTCTCACTAGTCATCAAAGAAGCTGCTTTTTGCAACAGGTGGAAACTATTACAAAGTTCCACAACTGGTCAAATGCAGAAAATAAGTGTCTGTGAGATGCCCAATCCTAAGTGACACATCTACAATGCAACCTCTACAGCTAAGGCTCGGGGAATATAGTGGAACAGGGGGCAGAGAGAATATTAATGCAATCTCAACTCTGATCAGCAAAGCTTCCTCAGGCAGTATATTAACCCAGAAAACCACAACTGACCAAAGTATAGAGAATGAGACTGCAGAATGCTTATCCCTGAATAGGACTCCCATATTAGACCTCTCCCACCCCAGGCTCCGGGATCATTATGGAAGAGGAGGTGGAAAGATTGTAAGAGCCAGAGGTGGTGGATTACCACAAGGGAACATAGTTTTCCAGACAGCTAGGAAGTTATTCATGAACTCACAGCAGTGATAGCAGCATGCAAAGACCCATGCAAGCTTAAGCCAGACAAAAAACAAGCATGGAAGTGGGGAAGTAGATAAGAAACGCCAACCATATCTGAGAAATTACTGATTTTTAAAAAGTTAATTATTTGTTCTTTTGATGCTATTAGAAAAATTCAAATTTTTTATGCCCCAAATTTGTCACTCATAACTAGTTGGAAAAAAAGCCTGTGACCATGACATATGACCACTATGTGCACAGTAGGCCCAGTTTCTGTAGTTGAATATCACTTTAAACATTCCTACAATCATGGGCAGTCAGCCTGCTGTGTCTGGTCTACCTCCTAGAAGCATTTCATTTCATATTTCCTAGTGTGCTAGGAATATACACTTTAAATGTAGAGATTTATATATAAAAATTGGAATTCTAGAAATTTCTTTTAAAAACTTGAAAATTTGACAGTAGTGTTGTTCTACGTAACTTCAAACTGCTTGACATGGTCGTCTGTGTTCATTTCTCCTGCTATCTCCAGTTTGCCACTATCTGTTCTGGGCAGTTCATCTGCTTGACCCTTGTGTGCTATAATTAGCTTCCTTTTCTGGATGATGTTAAAAATAAAATGGAACAACTAGTCTGGCAGCAACAGCAACCAGTTACAGCAGATTCCGTTCATAAAATACACAAAGTACAGCCAGACTGTACTTGATAGCCTCTGAATATCACCTTGGCCTGTGGCATAGCCTCTGAATATCACCGTGACCTGTGGCATTCCACAGTGTAACAAAATGCCACAGGGTTGGCAGGAGATAACCCGTGAGAGGGCTCCTGCTTTGGGGCTCACTGTCTTTATCTATGGCGCTCACTGGCTGCCTTCAGTGCCCTTAGGCTTTCTTTTTCTTTTGACAGGGCATGGAAAAGGGTTTCAGAACTTCTTCAGCATGCATTTCTATTCTATTTTTGATATGAGATTTGTAGGAACATCACTTAGTTGTTTAGTTCCCTCTCCAGCAAAATGGAAACCTTCTACCTAGAATGCTGTGGTTGGATAGTCAACTTTATATAGCCCGTAGTCTGAAGGCCTGTCAATAGAAGAGCCTAGAATTTTTATCCTCATTCATGCTCTGTAGGTGAAGTTTGCCAGGTGCAACACAATAGAGAGGGAACTTGGCTTGGTCCTGGAATTGACCTTTTAAATGTGTAGGAACTTATACACACACACACACACACACACACACACACACACACACACACACACACACACACACACACACACACACACACACACACACATATATATATATACATTGATGATGTGAAGGAACCAG